CCTTCTCCCCCTTTTTTGTGAATGGCCAAAACTATGTGTGTCAATTTTGCAAATATTTTCAGGTCAACCAATACTATTCATCCAACAATTTTCCTCCAGCTCTACTTACAACAAATTTAAAAATAGGCAAAAGTTTTTACCTCTAGCAATGCATCAGAGATGCCAAGGAAACAAGAGGCAGCTGGTGAAAATCCAGTTGGAGACACTGAGCAGAAATGACAACACTGACCTGAATTTTCCTTGCACAATCCTTTTGAGTACTTCTGTGGCAGAGCTACAGATGATTGGATGGCTTCCACCCAACTCTGCCTAAGAACACCCAATAATCTTGTTTACAAAGTGAAAAAGCCAAGAGCTTTTCAGAGCCAGGTTCTGATAAACAACAAAAGACCAGGAAAGATAAAAGCAACTGCAGATTCAAAACCAACTTGCGTATCAAACCTTTTTCTGTATAAGACTGCCTCACTATCTAACACAGGATCAAAATCCTCACAACAGTAATTACTTAAAATAACCTTTTGGGAGCAAATGTAATTATAACCCTCATTTTAGAAGTGTGTGTTATATATAATATGCAGAAGTTGCATAAGATTAAAATCCCGATACATAAGGATTTATTTTATAGATAAAATATGCATGTGCACAAACAATTAGTGTTTTAAATTGACCAAAAGAAATACATTAAATAAATGAAAGATAGCACATCAAGAAAAACAATACAAAGAACATAAAATAATCACATTATAAAAGTAAACATGTATGCTAACAAGAAATATACAATAATAGAATAGAAATAAAAAAGTATCATTCCCAATATAGTGGGTCTTATCTTATCTCTTAAATGCATATTACAGCTTAATTTTTTGAGTACACAGTACACTGCATAACCTTATAACAGTCTATCATGGCAGTCCCAGTAAGCATACTGAGTATTTCTATACTTGAAGAGTTTTCATTGGAGAGTGCTGAGAACTTCTTGTGTCTGTGATGTGTGGTCTAATAGTTTCTTCTAGAAACTTCCATTTCTCAGCTCATGTCATTTTCAGGTATTTCACTGAATCTTTAGTGCAAAATTCTCCTCTTGTACCCAACTGACTGGCCTCAAATCAGATACCATGCACACCTGACCTAGGTGTGTCTCCCATTAAGTAAACAGACTCTAAAGATCAAGGTCTGCCCTGTGCATCTGAGAGGAGAATTTCCACCTTAGTCCACTTATTTTTCAGAGACTGGAAATTCATCAATAAGCAATCTGAAGAGACTTGTTATGATAACTGGGACAACAAATTTACCCTAATTGTGAGTTCAAGTGTAAAAAGTATATGAACGTTCATAAGATGTTACAATAATCGATAATAACAAATGATAATGAAAGTAGGCCAAGTAATTTTTAATAGTGAATGTTATAAACAGGTGCAAGAGAACCAGACTGAGAGACTAAATTAGTCCAAACAAAAAGCCACGTTGATATGATTCCAGGACTATGTTGGAATCATGTTTGGTAAAAACAAATTGTATTGGAAATTAAGGAACCAAAACTGATGTGTTGTATATTAGGCCTACCTGGTGCACAAAATAATGAGAGGATGAGCTATTCCACTCATCACTCCCTTTTTGGGTCCTTCAAATAAAGAGACTTTGGAGGGGAAAGAACAGATGGAGGCTACTGAAGCAAGCTTCACTATCATGGCTGCCAGCCACACCACCTGCTGGGACCCTTGGCCTTTGTCATCCTAATTTTGAGAGGTGTCCTGACCAGACCAGGCCAAAGAGAGGGACATTGATAACACTGCCACCTCTACCGGCTCCAGTTGAATCCCAAACACCACCCTGGATGAAATGGGATCAGACTTCAACAGCTCCAGCCCATCTAAACTAACTTTTTCTCTTTTACCCAAAAGAACAGTTATCACCATCTTTGATACCATCTAAGAGACTGTCAGACAAGGGTGGTTTTCCTTCTTAAACTCTCTCCAGCTAAAGGGAAAAGGAACAAGAAATGTTGCTAAAATTAAAGCTTTACTTAATGCTTTACATTTCAAATGCTTTAACTGTTTTTTCTCCTTTCCTGTATCCAGGGCCGGCTTTAGGAAGTGCGGGGCCCGATTCGAATACCCGGCGGTGGTCCGGGTCTTCAGCGGCACTTCGGCAGCGGGTCCTTCACTCGCCCCGGGTCTTCTGCGGCACTGAAGGACCCGCCGCCGAAATGCCACCAAAGACCCGGACTGCCGCCGGATGAGTAAAAATTAAAAAGTTAGGCGCTCTTCTTTAGGGCGCGGGGCCCTCTTCGGCGCGGGGTCCGATTTGGGGGAATCGGCCTAAAGCCGGCCCTGTCTGTATCTTTCGTAAAAGGTTAAAAAGGATTTGTCATGGTACTAAGCAGAAAGGGCGGTGGAACCATTTGTATAGTGGGGGGGCTGCTGAGAGCCACTGAACCAAACTGTAAACCCTGTATATGATGGAAACCACTTCAAGCCAGGGGTTGCGTCAGCACCACCAGCACTCTTAGTTCCAGCACCTATGCTAAGCAGGCTGAGGTCTCTGTATACCAAACCCTGAACACTGTTCAAAACTGTTTAATGTTGCACAGTGAAAGCGCTTATAACACCGTTAACACTTTTGACCTTTGAGATTAATACAAAGCATCTCAAGAGGAACACGACCTAGGAAAGAGAACAAAGAAAATCTGTGCTATGTTCTCTCTACATACAACGTCTATATGTCTTATATGAAAGAAGATATTCTCCTTGGGCAATTTCTACAAAGTACCCGGTAAACAAACTCTTTTTCATCTCAAAACACCAGAAAAAGATGGTTGTCAACTATTTAATAAGTGAATAAGGCTAATCTACAGGGAAAGACAAATCCCAGCCCCCTTTCCCTGCCAAGCATAGTACCCTGCAGACAAAAGCTCTGTGTGCACACCTCTCATTTTAATCTAGTATGCAATATGGGACACTGCCTACAGAGTGATAAACATGCATAAAATAGAATTCTAAACATTTAAAAACATGCATTTCATTATACAGAGATCACAACACTCAAGACACTTATGAGCAAGTATTTAAGATGTGGCTGCAAAGCAAAGACCACATAACACTCGCTTTTGAGAAATGTCAGCATTTGAGCACCAAGAGCAAGACTGAAGTTGTTTGATACTTCATTGTGCCCAATAGGTGAAGCACCTAAAACGGAAGTAACTCAGTGAGAGAATATTCAGCCCTAAGCACCTAATGTCACCAAACAGGGTTTTATTTTAAAACAGCACTTGGAACGAATGTGTAGATAGGTGCCACAAAAGTTTCTCTGCACCCGCAACAGCTTTGCCAGTGCATCTCAATCCCAATGATACCATTCAATGCCACCATTCCACTGACATTCTAGGCTTGTCTATACTTGAAATGCAACAGGGGCACAGCCCCACCACTATAGCACTTCAGTGTAGACACTGCCTATTGCCAACAGGAGGGATTCTCCCATCGGCATAGGTAATCCACCTCCCTCCCTGAGGAGTGGTACCTAGGTCGACAGAAAAATTCTTCCAATGACCTAGCGCCGTCTACAGCAGGGGTTAGGCTGGCTTAACTATGCCACTCGGGGATGTGGATTTTTCAACACCTCTGAGTGACATAGCTGGGTCAACCTAACTTTTTAGTGTAGACCACGCCTAAGATCTGCTAGTGCACCACAATCTTGGAGCATCTTTACTATTCCAGTTCACGGAACCCCACAGAGCACAGCAAAATCAATCCTGACCTATAATCCAGTGCAAGGCCTCTCTAGAGCACAACTGTAACTCATACAGCAGCTTTGCAATGCCGACATCACTCTCCTGAGGACTAGACTGAGCCGATCAAACAAATGAATACATGTGTTTTTTTAAAAAGTAATATTTTCAATCATGACCTCCTCCAGGCTTTGAAACTTAATCTCCAGAGATGAGAAACTGGTGTATTAATCCAATGATTAGATGGCCTCCAAAATGGAAACATTAAGGATTCTAAGGCGTTAAAAATAAGAGCTGTAGTTCAGAACTGACACTCAGCACACACATTTCATGCCACATTCCTGACAGCTGCACTTTCTGGACTGCAACAAGCTGCTCCACACAGGCAGAGTCCAGCACTCACATTGAGCCTTGGGTTTAAATCCTTATCTTAGAATGATACCACCTCCTAGTAGCTGAATTCCTGATAGTCTCATGCAAGGAACTTTGCAGAAGGGAGAAGGGGAAGCCTACAAACGTGCATTTATTTCAAAACCTTTTTTTGTTGCTAGATCACCACTGGTTTTGCTATGAAACAAGCCTTGGTTGTTTCAAATTCTGCAAACTGTCAGCCATAAAAGTGTTTTAGTAATTTACTTCACAGGTCAGGAGAGTAAACTCACTCAAATCTACCGTCTCAGGGAGAGGCAAAACTCACAGTCAAAGAAGATCAAATCAATGCCTATATAGCGCCTCGATCCACAGATCCCAAATCATTCTACAAAGCAATGCAGGTGATATTATCACCATTTTACTGAGAGGGAAACAGAGACACAGACTTCCCTGAAGTCAGTTTGCAGCAGTCAGGATTAGACCCCCCCCCACAAGCTCCCAACTCCCAGTCCACGGAAGCCCCAGATTCTATTTGTCATTGTGATACTGCACCTACCCCCTACCCCAATAGAGACCTCCTCCCCCACCAGACCCCCCCCAAATAAACCACCTGCCCTGCTCCCACAGTAGAGACCCCCCAAATAAGCCACCTGCCCCTCCCATAGAAGAGATCCCCCCAAAATAACAGCCTGCCCCACCCCCAGCTGAGACCCCCAAAAACCGCCTGCTCCTCCCCAGCAGAGACCCCCCAATAAACCGCCTGCTCCTCCCCAGCAGAGACCCCCCAATAAACCGCCTGCTCCTCCCCAGCAGAGACCCCCCAATAAACCGCCTGCCCTCCCCCAGCAGAGACCCCCGCCCCAAGAACCGCCTGTCCCTGCAGGGGGCCGCCCCGTCCCACCTGCCTCTCGCCGGATCTCAGCCCGGACCGTCCCCGCCGTTGCCGCCACCTGCCGCAGTCCCGGCCCGAGCCATCCCGCCGCTCGGGCTGCTAAGGGGAGGAGGCGGCGCAGCTCAGCTTGCCCCGCCCGGGCCGACCAAAGCTCTGCCCCCGCCCGCTGCAGGCAGGGCCAACCGGCCTCCGCCGCGGAGTTGGGAGCGGGGCAGGCGCTGGGGGCTGGCCAGTAACGCTGCACCGGCAGCCTCCTCCGCTCCGCCCCGGCCGGGGGCCTGAGCCCCGCACACCCCAGGAGGGGTAACTCCCCCGTCCCCCC